TAATCAAAATACGTAAACAACTTGGTGTTGATGAATTCTCAGTAACATAAAGAATATTAGATTTTTAACTATATAATTAATTTTAATTTATACCTTGAAAATGTTAATCCTGATATTTCAGGACATTGGGGAATTGATACATTCTCCACATTAATTCCATTTGCATTAAATATGCTTATTTATCCTTCTTCAGAAACATATCCAAATTCAAATCTAGCTACATATAAATGTTCTGATTATGATACTGCACAAGCAATTGGACCAAATCTACCATTTAATTATATATAAGTGCTAATTTAATTTATAAATGATTTTTAGTACCTATAATAAAATATACCTGCATCTGTTTAAACAAAACGTAGTACTCTATTTTTTCCTGTTTCACACAAATATAATAATTTTTAATCATTGCTTAAACATATACCACTTGGATATGCTAAACATTATAATGCTAAGGGTTTAACAATTTAAGCATCCATATCTATAGCAAATAGAGATCCTTTACAATTTTCTATTGAAGTTTCACCAAATGGTCCAGAATCAGTAAAGAATAACAAATCTAATTATACTAATAATTACTATTTTTTGTTGACAATAATAGTGAATTAGGTCCTAATAATGGTTATCCTTCATATTCTTTCAAAAATTCTACAATTTATTCTTAACTGTTCTCATCAATATATCTCTTTAAAATTGCTTAATGAGCCATATCAGCCACATATATAAATTTGTTAGGTTTATCAATCACAATTGAATATGGTTATCCTGATATATGAAATTCAGCCTAAATTCAATTTATATACATTACTTTAAATTATCCATCCTTGAATTTTAAAATATCACCATTTTATGAAACCATATATATAGCTCCATCAATCTCTAAAGGAAAATAAAGTGGACTTGATAATTCACAAATCTTCTCATAAGGCACAGCACTCATTTCTTTATTATAATATATAATATATATTAAAATATTGTATTAAAATATATTAAGGAAAGAATAAAAATAAAAAAAGAATCACCCATGGCAGGGATTGAACCTGCAGCCTACAGCTTAGAAGGCTGTCGCGCTACCAATTGCGCCACATGGGCAACGTTAATTAATCACTCTCCAATTAACTATATATACCATATGTATTAGCTCATATTTTACTAATAAAATCTTAAACTATTAATTAAAATTTTTTTCAAAATTATTCCATTATCTTGAATTATAAATTATTATATTGAGATGAACCTTATATATACAATAATTCATTTGGAATCAAGAAAAAATGGGACATCCAATTCACAAGTATGTACAAGAATAATTTCTGTTTTACTTAAAAAGATATCCAAAAATAAGATTTGGTATTTCAAGAGGTTGGAATAAATCAGGTTTTAAATTTTATCTAAATCAAATTAACTATTAAATTTTATCTAATAATTGAACTATTCTGTTTAATAACATGATAATATTAATTAATTACTTTTTACATTATCCATAATAATCCAAAATATTAAAGCAAATAATTTTGTATGAGTAATAATTGTTTAATTTAATTTTATATTAGTAAATACTTTTACATCTAAATTACTACAATAATTAAGCAATTTCTTAATAAGACTTAATACTTAGATCTCTTTATAATTCTCATATAAGTTTATATTTTCATTCAAAATTAAGATTAAGGCTTTTCTCTATATTTTTAAATATTAATAATTTGAATTCGAATAATATTTCAATCTCTTTGCTAATTTTATTATAATCTTCATCAATTAAAGATTTCTATTTATTAAAAGATGTTTCTATAAAAAATTCACTTTATTAAATTCTTTAAAACTTAATAGAGCCTTTAATGAATTTGTTTAAAATAATGTTGATGTAATTAAAAAAGACTTTTTCTAATATTTGATTATAAATTCATTATTGCTATTAGCTGAATGATCTTAATTGTATTTTTAAATTAATTAAAATAAAAAACTCTTTAATGGAATGCTATCTACATAACTATTATTCATAAAATCATTAGATTCTTATGTATCCAAAAATAATGACTCACATTTATTAGAAGATGATATATGGCAACTTAGATTGTCTTATTAAAATTATATAATCATATAAGGAAATTCAAATGATAATTTCTTTAATAATTCTTCAAAATTAGAATCAACAAATGATAATAAAAACTAAGATCTCATTCCTTTATGAAATTAGTAATTAAAATAGTTGATATAAAATATAAGCAAAATAGATGACACAATTGCTGACATCTAAATTTAAGTACTGTATGCTATTGCCCATACTATTCTAAATACACTTAAATTCACTAAAGTAATTATGCCATCAAGATATTCCCCTATCAATACCAATAAGTAGGTTGCCCCCATTTAATTAATTCCCTATAACATAGCCATTTAAGGGTCTTTTTTAGTTTCTTGTGCAAATAAATATATATTCATTATGTGATTTACCAAAATTAAAGCTAATCTGATATATTATGGATAGAATTTGACAAATAATAATTAAATTAAGAAGTAGCTAAGCAAAACAGCACTACTAAGTAACTAATAATTATTTCCTTCGACTCCTGCCTAAACACATTTTATTATGAATATTATGGAAATTCCAAAAGTCACAAAGCAAAATGTAGTCCATCTTCTAACTTTTAATAGCTATCTTTAATATTTTTGTTCAATTTAAGCATCCTTAAATGCTAATGTATATTTATTCATTAATTATAATTATAATATATATCATTCATAATTTAAGACTTTTTTCATATATTATCAATAAAATATATATTTGAGACTGCCAAAAACATAAATTAAATTTTAGTTTTTTATAATTAAATATTTCATAATTTATTTCAGTGTCTGATTCTCTTAAATTATTCTTATTTTGATAATAAGAAATTCAATCAACTTCTTATTTATTGATTGAACAATACTTAATGATTATAATTCAATGATTTTTAGATATTAATCTCCTAATTTGATAGTTTCAGATAAATAACTACATATCTATAATATACTGAAGTTAATTAATACTTAAAATTATAGTATTATTTTTGAAGAAATTTTAGTTATTTATTCAATATTTTTATAAAAATGTGTATGTTAGTTTAATTTGGCTGATAATGATTTGCCAATTATTACATCTAATTTAAGTCTTATGTTTTATTTTTAAATTTACTTCAAATATATTTAAAAAATTAATATATAAATAATAAGTTTAAATAGTATTTTTATAGATAGAACTTTATTAATATCAGAAATATTCTTCTAAAATAATTCAAATTCTAATTTATAGAATAGATTTTTGATTTATTAATAAGAAATTAAGTCAACAACAGTTGAACTATATATAATATTAATCACTGTCAGTCATCATATCAATATATTATTAATAAAATTCAAAATTTACAATATCTAAATTGTTTTAGCATCTGAGAATTAGAAAATAGGAAATATAATGCTTTCAAAGACTTGAAATTGTTATTGAAAATATTAAAGTTCTATTTTGGTTGAGGATAAGATGGTAAATACTTTAGATTTAGATATATGTGTTTGTGTTAATATTTAAAATGAATATTAGTTTGAAATTACTATTAGAGAATGCAATAGAATACTAAAATATAAATCCCTTAATAAACTAATCAGAGAATGCATGAAAGTATTAATGAAAAGAATAAAATATTGTATTGAATTCTGATTAATTAAGTAAATTTGCATTTAATATGAATAAAACTAAACAATCAAATGAACTATGTTTAAGTATTAATCTTGATAATATTATTAATCAAATGATACATTAAAAATTTAAATATATGAATAATTAAGTGTTGCTTCTCCAAAAAAGACCAGATGAGTCTTTCCCTCAAAATATGAATTTCTTTTAAATACAATAGTAATCTACACCTCAATTGGAAAAGGGAGAAATCCTTATACGTGTACTTTTCATTGGTATAGATCCAGTCATGAGAGTTTGGCTATCTGGTGCCAAAACATATATAGATTCAGTTTAAATTGGATAAGTAATGCCAGCTTTTGGAGTTGGTCAATGTATTGAGAGTAAAGCCAAGAATTGGAATCAAGGTAATTTAAATTTTGTAAAGTATTATTTAGGACAATTAGTTTTTGGAGTATTAGAATGTGCTTAGTATTGTGTGAGAAAGGTTAATAAACTATTTAAGGTACCATCTTTTGTAGAGATTGGTGATCCAATAATTCCTTTGACTTTGTCAATGTAAATGAATTGTATTAAAATATTAGTTATGGTGTGACAGGTTTGACTGCTCTAAATGCTATGAAACAAATACCAGAATAGAATAGACCAATAAAGGAGAAAAATAAGACTTTGTGTGTCTCTTCTGCAGCTGGTTCAACAGGATCAGTAGTTTGCTAAATAGCAAAGAAAATGGGATATAGAGTTGTGGGTATAGTAAGTAGTTAGGAGAAGGTTGAATTCTTAAAGGAATTAGGAGTTGATGAATGTGTTACATATAATTAGTGTAAGCAAAATGAGGAAATAAATGTGAAGTAAATATTTAATTAATAATCAATTAGTGAATTAACAAAATTAATTAAATCTCATGCATCTTAAGGAATAGATGTTTACTATGATAATGCAGGTGAAGAAATCTTAGATGCAGTTATACCAGTAATAAATAAGAATGGATATGTATTATTATGTGGAGCTACATCTACTTATAATTCATGGAAATAGAGATGTGGTTTATAGAATTTGGCAAAGGCTATTTAGAATTCAATTAAATTTGAAGGGATAATGTTTTTGAATGAGAAATAAAAAATGTATGATGGATTTGCTGAGATGGTAGAAATGGTTAATGAAGGATCAATAAAACATTAAGAAGAAATATTATTAGGCATAGAATAATTTATTATTGGATTATAGAATGTTTTTTTAGGAAAGAATAAAGGGAAAACAATCATTCAAATTTATGATAATTAATTATAGTAGGCTAAATTATGATAAATGCCTTTGTATAAATAAACAATCATTCTTTTTTGTAATTGAGTCCATAAAATTCCTAATCAAATTTTTTAAGTGCTTATGTATTTGTAGTTTAATTCTAATCTTCTTCAATTTCTAAAAATGTAAAAAATTAATTGATTACTTTCATCTAGAATTTATGGATTGAAATTAGATAAATCTGTTGCTGATTACAAATCTGGTATAATAGGAGCTTAAATCTAATATTAATATTTAATAAATACTTCTTTTTAGAGTAATCTTTAGAAATCCATCTTTTTAAACCAAGGATGCTTTTTTATTTCTTCTGCATCACCTTTATTACCCAATCTTTCATTAGGTTTCTTCTTTAATAAAGCTGTTAATAGATTTTTACAATCAAAAGACAAATTAATTGTTGATGGGAATTTCAATTCAGATTCTACTATATTTCTAAACATTTAATTTCTATTTTCTGAAAAGAAAGGGGTTCTTCCACATAACATTTCAAATCTTAAATATATCAATTGATATACATAAGTATGCCTAAACACCACCAATCAGCAGTGAAGGCATGTCCTTATTGAGTAATTACCTCAGGGGCTAAATATTCAGGAGTTCCAACAATTGATTAAGTAACCTATCCTTTTGATAAAAACTTAGCCAATCCATAATCTGTTAAAGCTACATATCCTTTTTCATCCATCAAAATATTTTCTGGTTTTAAATCTCTATAAATAATTCCTTATTTATGGAGATATTCTAAAGCCAACAATACTTAAGATGAATAGAATAATGCATAATCTTCATTAAATTTATTGACCTTTTATAGATGTGTATACAATTCTCCTCCTCTAATGTATAAATTAATATTTATACATCATAAATTTCATAACAAAATAAACACACTCCTATGTGATAAATGCATATTCTAAAGAAACAAGAAATGGATGTTATGTTTATTCTAAGATTTTTCTTTCTGTTTTTAGATATTCAATATGATCTCTTGAGATAATATCCTCTTTACGTAAACTCTTTATAGCAAATATTTCTTTTGTATCTTTCTTCTCACATAACATTACTTTTCCAAATGCACCTCTTCCCAACATCTTTATTAATGTAAAATCTTCTATACTAATCTCTTAAGTGTTAGATTTTTAATATATTGTTTATACATTCCCTCTAGCTGCTTACATTGCAATTTTCACATCATCCACAGTCATTTCTGCTCCTTATTTTGGAAGTTATCTACGAATGTTCTTCTTAATATCATAATTAGTTGTTGTATATTAACTTAAATTCATTTCTTCAATGAAATGACATCGTATTTTTTTTAGATTATGTTTTACATACACTTCACATAAGGTTTGTATAATTAATGACAATCTATAAAATATTAGAAGTTTCTTACTAATCATCTACTTAATATCGTTGATCATATTCAGTTGGTATATGTAATATGAATTCCTTTACTATTTTAGAAATAGTGATTGAAGTTATTGCAGATAATGGTATTTTTCTCTTTATCCTTGATCTGTATATTTAATTCAATTTCATTACTTATTTACTAAACTCTAAAAAAATCCTTTAACACCTTTTCCTTCTGATGGTGAAATGTTATACACATTCTTATTTGTGATTACCTATTAATATAAGCAATATCAAGTACAATAACTCTTGGTAACTTTTTGTTTTATCCTGTAAATTTTATCACCTTCATTGTAAGTACTATTGTTTCACCTCCTTCTAATTACTCTCGTAACTTTTTGTCATTCATCACCTACTCATAATCCATATTTAATAATATATTTAATAAGATTAACAACATTCCATTCTATCTTCCTCTTTACCCCCTCTAATTTCATACTCAATAAAAAAAATAGCCAGTTGGGAGAATTGAACACCCGACCCTTTGCTTACGAGGCAAATGCTCTAACCACTGAGCTAAACCGGCATCATTAAATTCTACCTTTCCAACTTATATAAATCTCTTTTCTTGATTAATTAAATACATCTCTATTTTTAATTTGCCATTTCTCTTATATGCATTAAACTCGCAATTAATTTAATTTAACTTATACAATAAACTATAATAGATAGAATATATTATTTCATTCATTCCATTACTTATTTCTAATTGAATTATTGAATTTTTATCAATAAATGTTTCAACAAAAAAGAATATATTGATTAATTTATTATCAGAAGTCTTTGAAAATTATGATAATTATTCTACTATAATATTTAAGATATAATTTATTATTAATTAATATGAATGATTAGAATTAATAATATTCTTAAAATCTTGATTCATCTCATTATATTAATTAATTTTTTAAAGTTCATTTTTCAATTAAATCGAATGGGGAAACCTAAAATATTAATAAAAAATTTGTATGAAATTTTATAGGTAACTTTAAAACACCTAAAAGATAGTCAGAAAAATTTGATTGTATTAGATGGACAGATAATGGAAGGGCTTTTATAATTGTTGATCCTGAAGAATTTTAGAAATCAATTATGCCAGAATATTTTTATTCAACACAAATAAAATCACTCTATCGATAACTCAATTCATATGGATTTAAAATGAGAAGTTTAGAAATTAATTAAAAAATGTTTTCACATAAATGGTTTATCTAAGGAAATATGTATTTAGTACTTATATATTTTAAAGATCTTCTCTTTATAAGGTAGAAAGGTAGAGAACAAAAAGTATAGCTCATTTAGATAAAGAAAAGGATTCAATTGTTATTATGAGAGAAGAAATGAAACAGTTAAAAGAAGAATTAGAAACCTTATAAAGTCAATAAAATTCTATACTAAAATAAATTAGAATTCATTCCATAATATAGACTTACATTTGTAAAAACATAAAAAAGATATGTGATGAATAAAAGAAGTTCAATTTAGAAAGAGAATAGGAAACAAGACTAGTAATATATTTCACATCAATGTTTGAAATATTTAAAGGTTTTCAATTTGAAATTGCCTCTAATATAATCCTACAATTAAAAGATATTGGAGGACCATAAACTCCTTCCTTTTCTCCAATGATATTTCCATATATGTGATTAGTAACAAATAAATTATTATTTTTTATTGTCAATCTATTATCCTTATTAAATCTATTCTATGAATATAACTTTAATATAAAACATATAATTATTATGATTCATCCAAAAAATATTGTTTAGATTTTCTTCAATTTTACTATTTTTTTATTTTTTAAATATATAAATACCCCTATTAAAATAGATAAATATAATAAAAGATTGATAAACTTATTGGTGTTTTAGAATAATTAAATTTTAAAAATTCATTATTCTTAGATTATAAAATATACTACAGTATAATATGTTGTTAATAAATTAGTTCTTAATATCTTTGGTGAAATCCTAAGATATTATATTAACTTTTGAAATATAAATAGTTTTCATTTTCATTATTTATTATTTGATCATAAAAAAATTTTGATTTTAAATTAAATAATACCATATAAGCTAGCCTATAACTTTTTTATAAAAATTATTTCTATTTATTAATATGTTAGTATAATTTATTTGATAAAATTAAAATGCAAGATTAAAGATATCAATATTTAATAGGGAAATATCATTTCTAATTGGAATAGTTTAACTTCAATAAGGCTTTTGTTAAAAGGTGTTTAGTATCAAAGGATTAAAGATTTGTTGCAATAAGTGTTAGAGGATGTTATGATAATAATTTAGAGAAAAAAAATTATCATTATTACTATCAAATTTGGAGTTTAGAAGAAAGAAAATGCATAAAAACTTATTAAATAATTTTATGTTCTCCTATATCCTAATTCATGTGTGGGTTTTCTGAATGTTCTTAATATTTTGTAAGTTTTAATTGCAATTGTGAAATGACAATAGTTCATTTGGAAGCATAAAAAGAATGCTTTATAGTCAGTTTACCTGGACATTAAGTTATAGATAAATTAATGATTAAATAAGGCTTAGTATTTATTATTGTAGAGCAACTAATATATGTTTATAGTTTAGTTGATGGTACACCCATATAAAAAATAGAACTTGATTTTAAATAGGAGAATTTTTTGCCATTAGATGCATTAAAATTTCTGGTTTCAAATAATTAAAGAAAATCTGTATAAATTTGGTAAAGGATAGATAAGGGAATAAAAAAATAAAAAGAAATATTCCCAAAAAATAGATATGATGAATTATTTGATTTTGAGAATAGGATAATTATTGGATAATAATAAATGTGTATACATTTACTTTCACCTAGCAAATTATAAATTATTAGGAAAATTACAATAGAATATTAATTCTATAATATTATTATCGATCATAATATTTCTATTTTAAATATTTATAGAAGTTTATGTCCAGAACAGAAAAAACTTGTTTATATTAATTGTTTTCCTGAGATCTAAACTTTTGAGTCCAATCATCATGATGAAGTAGATTATACCTTTGAAAATATGTATTTTTATTCAGGGATTGTTGTTGGATGGGATTATGAAAATCCAAATAAAGTAGGATTCATGATATATAAATTTTCAAATTGATAAATTTATGAAATTAAATAATAAATTGATATAAAAAAAAAAATGTTATAATATATCAAAATAATGATTTAGGAGGGGTTTTATTAACTAAATCTACTATAAATTTCATATGATTTGTCATATCTTGTAATGGTAATACTGCTTTCTTACTATTATTGTTAGAATTAACTGTTGTACTTGCCATAGATTTATTTGGTTTATGAAATGATATTTTTTAGTTTTATCGAAGAGGTGTAATTATTTAAGTAGAAATTCGTTATTCAATCCTTTGAGGTGTTCTTGATTTTGATATTATTCGAGGTGTGTATTACTATTTTAGATTTGGAGAAATAGAGCGTTCTGGTGTTATGTTTTGACATGCTAATTTAATTGAATTTGCATTAATTTAAGGACAGAAGGGAGTCTTTTTTAATTGTTCAATTAAATGATGTTAACCTTTGATTTATTTATTAATTTGACTTTTTTAGCATCTTTAAAGTAATGAGGAATTCTAATCTGAAATAATTTGTTGTGATTTCTTATTAATCTTTGGTTTGAATGTTAAACCTTTTAATTCTTCCTACTATTTTTCTTATTTCATTAAATGAATTTATTCATTCTTTCTCTCAATCCAATAATCAACATCTTATAAAAATTAATCGACTGTTCGATTTTCTTTATCCTTATTAATATTTGGTCTAAATGAATATTTGCTACATTCTTATTCTTCATTCTATTCTTTCTATCTTTTTAATTCTGCAATTTTCTCTTGTTTTTCCTTCATCAAATATTAGGCACGTTAATAAATAGGTATATGATTCATGTTATTAATATACTTAGTTAACGAATATATTGTTATTTTGTAAAATAAACTTAATTATCAAAAAAATAAAGAAATCTTATTAATATATGTATATTCACTAATTAGAAGTTAAATTGTATTTTAAGATATATAATTTTAAATATAAAATATAATGTTATTCAATTAGGATATTGTGATTATAATAATATATTATAAATTATAAAGGATAAATGCTTATTATCAAAAGATTATGATTAAAAGAATTTATTATTAATATATGAAGTAGTTTTATAATTATTCTAGTTAATTAATATTAAAATCTGTTAAAAATATAGTTGTTAATAATGAAATCAGATTCTTTGGCAGTAAGTGCTTATATTACTATTAGGTGAGAATTACCAAATTAAGAACCCAATAGGTAGAGGGGCTGGTAGTTTTGTGTGCAAGATTGTAAACCGATTAAGTAAAGTGGAAATGGCTGCTAAGATTATTTAGAAAACATCTTCGAACTCACACAAAATATAGAATGAAGTAATGATACATTCTGAATTGCATCATAAAAATATTGTTAATTTAATAGATGTTTTTGAGGATGCTGATAATAGTTATCTCATAATGGAATTATGTGATTAAGACATTTATTAATTAATTAAGAAAGGATAATTTAATGAATAATAAATACGTTTTTATGGTAAATAATTAGCAGAAGGTCTATAATATTTGCATTCTCATAATATAATTCATAGAGATATTAAATTAGGAAATATTCTAATCTAAAATGATATTCTAAAAATTGCTGATTTTGGATTAGCTGTAAAATTAAATGATGATGAAGAGGAACGAAATACTCTATGTGGTACTCCAAATTATATAAGTCCAGAAATCATAAATTAATAACCATATGGAAAAAAAGTTGATTTATGGAGTATGGGTTGTTGTTTATTTGCAATGGCAACTGGTCATGGTCCATTTGAAGAAAAGAATGCAGCTTTGGGAGATGTTTTGAGAAAAGTTAAATAAGGTGATTTTGAACTTCCTACAAATTTTACTGAAATTTTTAAAGACTTAATAATGAACTTATTAAATCTTGATGCTGATTAGAGATATTCTATTGATAAAATAATTAAACATCCATTTTTTGTAGATTCTATACCTCCAAGAATTTAAAGTAGAAACTAATCTAGTTCTTAGATTAAATAACTTTTAGATTTAAGTCCATTTGTTAAATAATAGCATAGATCTACTTGTTCTATGATTGGATTAGATAAATAATAAGTAGTAGCTTAATTTTTATAGAAATAATAATTATTGGGAGGTAAGAAACTTCTTTTTGGTTTAACAACTAATGGAAAAATAGCACTTAAATAAAATTATCATCTTGATAATGTACCTAGATTCTTTTTACCATAAGAATCACATTCTAATAATACAAGTTGCAATCATCATAATAAAGAAAATATAAATAAAGAAAACATAAATAAAGAGAATATTAGAGAAAATAGTGTTAAAATTAATAAATAAAATTCTTCAACTTTGTGTATTTTTAATGAATCTCCAATAAAATTAGGTGATTTAAAATCTTGTAAATTATAAACAAAAAATGGATTATTATAAATTCATGAAGATGGAAGATTTGAAATGGATGTTAGTAATAAAGATTTGAATTTTATAATCTAAAAAAATGGATAAGAAGTAATATCTTTTAATAATAAATTTAATAGATTATAGTATAAAAAAAGGGTTAAAAGTCCAAATAATATTAATTAAATGAATTACCATAAAAATTATAGAAATTTTATACTTATTCTAAATAAGTTTGTAATGCAATTAGAGAGAAAAATTAGAAATAAAAACTTAATAATGAACATGGCAATTTTGCATTAAAAAATACAAAATTAGGTTAATGTTATGAAGGATATATTGCATAATCAAAAATTAAAGTAAAATTATTATTTAAACTTTAGATACAACATATATTAAATTCAGACTCAATAAAATTATAATTTCATAATGGGAATACAAAAATTGTTAATATTAATGATTTCTAATAACTCTCAACATAAGCTAAAATGGATCCAAATGAAGTATATTCTATTAAAATTGCCCTCAAATATTTACCTTAATGTTAATAATGATAGTTAAAAATTTATTTATTTATTTATTATAATAATCCATAAAGTTTAATTTTACTTTTTCAGTTATATTATATGTTAAAGAATGACAATAAAGAAAAATTAGTTTTATTAGTTTGTTTACCTAGTTTTGAGTTTATGCAAATATTTTATCAAATTAACTTATATATATGTAAATTTTAATTAAATATTCTTTATCTATTAAATTAATTCCCAGGAATTAAAATTGATATTAGTATATTTAAGTATGAAACCTAAAAGTTTGAGATTCTATGATCTGGTTTTAATTATTTCTTATTAAACTCATTTCAAAATATGACTATCTCAAATGTATTACCACTATTTATTTTTGATCATATAATTAAAATTTGAATTGTCTATGTAACTTTCATTTTATAATTAGTTAAATATGCTTATGACAATTCAAATTAATGAACAACTTTATAGACTTTACAAAAAAATTTAGGATAAAAGAATTAGAAATATCATTAGTCATAATAATTATTCAACTAAATACTCAACAAACATTCGAGCATTCTGAAGTAATGTTGTTCGTGAAGTTATTTGAGATATGAGATCATCTTTTTCTGCACTCAACATATTACTAACATTTTTCTGTTGCTCACATAAAGTTTCCAATTATTCCTATGGAACACTTAAATGTTTGTAATTTCTAAATTAATAATATAGTACTATCCTAAAATTTCCCATCTAAAGCGCAAATATTTATAATATCGATTTTTCACCATAGCCAATGTTTTTCCATGAAAATGCCTATGAATCTTCTAAAATTTAGGTCCATTGTTAAACACTAACTATAAAATACGTTTATCTTCTTCTTATGAAAATTTTTGACCAGATTTCTTACTACTAATACCATCTGAACCTCTTCTTTTTTTTCGATGATAATCATATTCATTTTTCTTTTTTTACTTCTTTTGGATACTAATTTTATTAGGTGATCCATTTTAAGAGGATGCTTCTTCATTCTCCTACATCATTATTACTTTCTACTATTTTAATTAATTACAATTCTTTTATAAAATTTTGAGTTATGTGCTTCTCTCTTAATTTAAGTTTTATTCATATCTTTTCAATATAAAAGTAAAATCTATCAAATAAATATTTCATATCTACACTATTTTATTTAAATACGAATTATCTTAGCTAATATAAAAATTTAGCAATTTATAAAAACGATAAATTTATAGTGTAAAAATATTGATATATTTCATTTTCATCAATTAAGAATCATCAATTAAGAAATTAAAGATCATTTTACTCAAAAATATGTTATGACTATTCCTCCATAATATAGCTATCAATAAAATACATTATAATGTAAAATTGACTTAATATTTAATAATTGTTGATGTTATTTTTAGGAATTTATTCTGATCCTCATAGTATTTTAAGAATAATTACTTTTATTATTTTAAATACAATTAGAAAAACTCAAATAATAATCATTACAATATTATCTATTCTAATTAACAAAAAATGAAGAATTTATTATTTCAATTTTTACATTAATAATTTCATAAATATAATAAATTTATAAAAATACTTAATTATTTTATTAATTATATTAATGAAATTTATCATTTTTTTCCATAAATTTTTAGCCTTTCTATAACTTAATCTTGAACACTAGCTGCAAAATTTCCAGCCTTTGATGGCAAATTACCTTTTAGATCATATAAATAACTGATGTTCCCTTACACTTAGTTTAATAACTACTCCTTCTTTTTTTTCTAATAACCAACCTCCTAACTTTAATTAAACTCAAACTTTTCCTTTAACAGTTGGTTTTGATGTTAATCAAATAGATTTTCCTACCACCCATAATTTATTTCAATCTCTGTGTCTCTTGTTAGAGAATTACAAAATCTCTTCCTGAAACCACTATAAAAATATCCTAGAATCTTTAATAAAAGATTAATAAGTCATCTCTTATTTTTGATATTAGTTAAGCCTTAATTAATATAAGTGTGAATGAATACTTTTTCATATAATTCATCAAATTTTTCAGCATTTTCTATTCAATTAATAACCTCTATAATTTAATCAATTTGATATAGTAAAAAACCTTCTCCTCTAAAGTTGATCTCGAAACCATTATTGTCACTATGAGGTTCCAATATATTTTCAGGAATGAAAGGTAGAATTTGTTAGAATTACTGAATGACCTCTAGAAAATATAATAAGAAATGTAAAATAAGCTAATTAATCATATTTTTAGATTTATTCTTCTGTGAATTACTCTTATTGAATCATATATTAAATAAATTTAATTGATACTTAAGATTTTCTATATTTTAGAAATCTAATATGTAATGATACATTAAAATTATATATGAGTAACTCATTATCATTTCAATCTCAATTTGCAGCAATAATCAATATTGATTAGAAAATACTTGTAATCAATAATATTAAAATTTTTATTTATATATATATTTTTAATAGAAATCCAATAAATGAATCAAGACTTTTAAATTCTTTAAGGAATCTACTAATTTTAATCACAGTTTTCCAAAATCATTAAGGGTTTATAAGATGAAGCTAATAAATACAATAAATGCTTTAATTAAGCATAAAAGGATATTTAGGATTTTTACAATAAATTATTATAATCATCATAAAGGATGAATAAATAATAGATCAATAATGATTAGGAGTAATAGTAGTAGTGTGAGAAATCTCTGACAACTTTAAAAAACAAATATGGATAATTATCAAAATAATTGAATATTTTTAATGAAAATTTTCTGTAATATTTAATGTAGAAATCAGAATTTGATAATTATTACTAATAAATTTAATTGTCATAAATAATTTTAGAGAGAAACACACCATTAATACCATTATAAAATCTCTCTTGGCTAATGAATTCTCCTTTATAATTAGATGTTGCTAAATAGTTAACATCTTAATTGAGTTCAATAATTTAACAATAGAATATTTAGTTTAACAAAAATGAATAATTAAGTAATTTTTTTTGTGAGCAAACCATTAATATTTAGAAATAAATTGAATACTTAGAATAATAAAAAATATTAAAAGCATAAATTGAATTATAAGAATAATAAAAATTAGCAGAAATTGAAGAAAATTAAAGGTAATAATAGGAGATATAAAAATAAAAGGAAGAACTTGAGTAGAAAAATGATATTGATAATGAATAAATCGATAATTTTGAAAATCTTTCTGAAACAGAAGAATTAACATAATAATGTTAAGAATGTGGATAAATAATTAAATTTAATAATTTCTTAACATAATGTTTGCATTATTATCATGAAGAATGCATAATTTAAAAAATCAAGGCAAATTATTAAAAAAGAAGTATTTATTGTTCTTGTAATACTTTGATAAATTCTAGAATGATCAAAGATGTCTTAGAACACTCTAAAAATGATCAAAATTAACTTAGTTTTGAGATCTTCTAATATTATTAAATTAAATAATTATTAAAGAAAGGCAATAAAACCTTTACAGAATGTAAATGTGGATTCCTGTACATAACTGAAAAAGAAGAATAAATAGATAATTGTATAGTTTGTGATAAATGTGATTGAATTTTATTTTTTAAGTATATAATAAGAATGTATGATATAAGTATTAGATCAAATATATATTTATATAATATATTCCAATTATTAAAAAATAATCGATTGATAACCATAGTTTCATAAAATGAGAACTCTTAAATCTTAATTCAATAAAATTTTACTTTGAATAAAGATTTTTTATATTATTGTTTTGATATTAATTATTTTAGAATATTAAAAAACCTATAATTATTTAAATGGATAATTAGTACAATCCATTTTATAACAATTCTTTAGAAGCTAATAGAAAGACTAATTTTTTAGCATCAAATGGGAAAAGAGTAGTATAAGAATAAAAGGAACAAGTATAAAATTATAATATTGAAACTTTTAGATATTGTTAAAGGAAGAAAAATAGAGGTAAGAGAAAGCCCAATAAATTGAATATGAAAGAAAACTATTGAATTAAGAACCAGTACCTGTTTATTTATAAAGGGATGATAGATAATAAAAGGTAACTGCTTCGGAAAGAAAAGAAATAATAAGAAATTTAGAGAATGAAGCCAATAAAAATTCAGATGGAGGATTTTTTGCCAAAGTATTTTAGCAGAAGGATAATAAAGATTAATAGAAATTATTATAAAAATAAGCATATATAGAAGAAATATAAAAATAAATTGATGAGAAGAAAAGAAAGAAAGAAGATGAGAGATAGAAAAAGATGGAAGAGGATCGATAATATGAAGAGAGAATTATAAAGGAAAGAGAGGGTATGAATTAAAATTCAGTAATAAAAGATGAAGATAAAAAATAAATAATCAAAACAATCAAAAATAGACATCTATTATAATAATATGATGAATCAAAAATGATTTTTAATGAATTTGATGAATAATAAACTAATTTAACAAATAATAATATTGTACCTAATTATTTAAAAGAAAATTTAAAAGAAGTAGATGATAAATTTGAATAAGACTTAAAAAATAAAACAAATCCACATACACCTTTTACAAAGTTGTAATCTTAAAGAACATTATAAGATTAAAATCCCATTAATATTACTTATAATCATCCTAATACAGCTGGATATGCATAAAATAATAGATCATTTAGAAATAATTCTTAACACAATAACTCTTAAAATAATTAATAATTATAAATGTAATATGAATAATAATAGATGTAATAGTAGTATTTACTTTAATAACAATATTTTCTTTAATAATAATAGTAAATATAAAATTTTTAATAACCTTAATATTATCACTAATTTGAATAAAAACCAATAATTCCATAATTAATGGAGAGATTTTAAAGAGAATTTGAAGATTTAAAGATGATGAATAGAATAAAAAGTAAAGAATAAGAAGAAGGAATTGATAAATTGAGAGAATAGATTGAAATGTAATCTTAAATGTGGAATGAAGATTTAAGAAAATTAAGAGCTGAAGTTCAAATAAGTGCAGAATAAAAGAACAAAGCATTTTATGAATTAGAACATTTAAAGGGATAATTAAAGAGATAAGAATTATTTGAAGAAGCATAATATAATAATTAAAATTAACAATAACAAACTAAATAGAGTAATGGTTGGAATTAATAAGATAAGAAATTGATAACAGAAAATGAATATTAAAGAAGTTAAAACCAAAGTAGATAATAGAAATTTGAAGATAATTTTAATTTTTATAATTCATTTGAATAAGAGTGATTAATTATATTATTTACTAAATAAATATTTATTTTAATGTCTTATAATATCAATGAAAATAAATAAGGACATTCAACAAATATGTTCATTTCAAATTAACCACTAAATATTCAAACACACAATCTATTGAGCAATACTAATATGACCAATTTTTTAGAATCTAATAATCAATTTTCATAAATAGTTAAACCGAATGGTTCATAAATCTTAAAGTATTAGGAATTATGTATTAATATATTTATTAATATATTATAGTGGAGTCTAAGATTTCTTTATAGAAAAATTAATCACAACAATAATCTAAGATATAAGTTTAATCATTCGATAATAGAGGTGGTAACTAATTATAGAGTAAATTTATTGATACTGGTGTTAACTTACTCTAATCAAGATCATTTCAAGGATCTTACTTCTAATAAATATAAGACAGATCAAATATACAAAATTCTAATTCTCATATAATAACTACTGAAAATTGGACAGAGAGTGATTATGTTAAGCAATTTGAAGAATGGAGAGATTTAATCTAATTAAATATAGACTTTATAAATTAAGTAGAGAATGATAGATCATAAATTCAAGTGTCGAATATCATCTTCTAAGAAATATTAACTATTAAAATGAATATCATAAATAACTCATTTTTAACTAAATTATCTGAATATGAAAATATAATTAAACCATATGCATATTAAATGGCAATTAAGAGTGAAGAATTATATAAATCTTTAGAAATACTTAAATAAACTAATTAAATACCCTTTAATAAATATGCTAATTTTTAATTTGAATAATCTTAGCCATTATTGAAATCTCAACAGTTCAATCAATAATTTGCTAATGTTAGTTTAGAAATATAAAATTAAGCCAATTTAATTAACTCTATTCTTTAATAGTTAGGAAATTAAAGAAATTATATAGAACCTTAATAAAATTACCAATAAACATTAGAAAATGCATTCAATTAATTGATGTAATATGTTCGAGAAAGAATGTCCTAATAAATTAATTCATTAATGTTTACTCATGAAAGAGAAGTATTTAATTTAGAAAGATAAATTTATTCCTAAATTCAAGAAGCCGATAATCTAAGCATTAAAGTTTTATCAGATAAATTAATGATAATTGAAGCATAATTAGAAAAAATTTAAGAAAAGAAATAAGAATTAAATGATTTTAAAGAAAGATTAAATTAATTAATGAACAGAAATGTTGATATATTCTCTGAGTATTTTGATGATGTGATTATTTTATACAAATAATTTAAGATCTATCATGAAGAAATAAAGTATATCTAATAGATTCCAAATTAACAAATTTTATAGAATCTATAAATTAAAATAAAGTAATAATTATATATTGCATCAAAGAAGATTTGGCTATAAATTAAACAATTATATTTCAATGGAAATAAAATTAAAGAATTTAATGAACAAGAGAAATTTCAACAATTTAACAAATATAATATTGAAACATAAGTGTAATATATTAAAACATTTTTAAAACAATTATAATCAGATTATATAACAAAAGGTAATTAAGTTCCTTTAGAAGAATCTAAAAAACTAAAATAATTAATTTATAAAGCAGAATGTGAATATAGAAATACAGATTAATTGAGATTGTAAATATCTGAATTAGAACAATAAGATATTATTGGATATAAAAATTACATTAATTCATAAATAAAACCTAAATTTTTTATTGATTTTAGTCAATTGTATTCTAAAGACTTTTATGATATCATTTATTTTTAATATGCTGATTCTAATATTTTAGAATCTATAAAAAAATTGTTATAATTCAAATTCCCAACTTTTGATTGGAATGAGAATTTTGAAGATGAAAAATAGAGAATCTAAATAGTAGTACAAAGATATTAGGAAGTATCTAATAAACTATAAGAATTAGAGAAATTATATTCAAAAGAGACCAAATTTATTAAATAATTAAGTAATTGGAAGGCAGAATTATTTAAATGTATTAAAATTTTGAAGTAGTATCTTATTATTAAGGAAGAATTAAAAGGTTAATTAATTACACTTTTGAAATGGCCTCAAATAACATCTAATATCTAAATAATTAATGAATTTAGTGTACATTGTGAATAAATTAGTAGACAAGCAAATTAGTATGTCTAAGCAATTTAATAATTACAATAAATGTAATTAATATAAAGTTTAGAATCTTTATTTAAATAATGGAATCCAAAAGTAAAAGATTATTTAATATAATAATGTCATTTCATAAATTAAAGTGTATTCTCTCCAATAATTAATGAATAAATGTAAATCGTCTATTAATTCTTATATGTATGTATGGAATGTTTAAATTATGATATTGATGAAATATTTTGTAGAACTACTACATATTAAGAATTTGAAAATATATTGAATGGTTCCCCAAAATTATAAGAATTAAAGAATATTATTGATAATAATATTCATAATTCTGCTTTGAGATACAAATTATTTGAAATTATTGATAAATTTATGAAAAATAAAATCATTCTTGATTTTTAGAATTTATTCGAATTAAAATTATAACAAAGCAAACAGTAAACAAATAATTTTAATCCAAGAGAATTAGTAAAAAGAACAGACTTAAAATTTCCAATAATAAGATCTGATATTTAAGATAACTCCTATTGTAAATAAAATATGGATAAGATTAATTAAATAATAGACTAAAAAGAATTAAGATTAATATTCTAACAATTCAGGGAATTATTAAATAATATTACCGTTATTATTGATTAAGATAATTTAGTGGCAGATATAAAAGTTAATTAAATAACTATTATTGAATTAGCTTGTATATTTGCATAGTAATTACTTATTCAAAATGAATTAACTAATATTTAACCTCTAATAAGATTTCATTAATAATTATGTAAGTTTCCAAATACTAAACAATTTCAGAATCAACTTATTAATTTAGGAATTGTATTTCCTATTGAATATAATAAATATTTAGAAGCATGTAGAAGAAGAGTTTAAAAATTGACTTAAAATATTTGTATAGAATTTGAATCTTATGATTTTGATGAGATTTCTTAGGCTAAATTATTGATTAATAACAATGAATACATATTGAAATAAATTGATTTTCCAGTTCTTTATATAGATGCAAAGTCATTGATTTTTGAATATCAGCCATTAAAATTTAATTGTAGCTTAAATGTTAAAATAAATGGGAAATTGTTAAAATAAGGTTAGACTATTCAAATATGATGTATTTTTTTATTATAATTTCATTTTGCAAAAACTTTCCACAATATAAACACCATTACTAAAGCGATGATTAAAAATGCAAATTGTTAAGCATTTGCAGGTGTACCACCACCAGCTTACCAAGGCTCTTATGGTGATGTTTTGTCCACTGTTCCAATTTTATATTTTTCTAGCATTTAACGAGCTCCTGATGTATGACCTACATTTCCATCTAAAAATCTTAACCTGTTTCGTTGAAATCTCTAGTGGCATCTTTACCAAAACGATTTTACAATACTGCAGGACCTCCTGGATGTTCATTGAGATAGGGGGTTGGATCATACACAACTCCATCTATAACAAGCCATCCATTCTTTTGATGTTATCCAACTTGTTACCAAGTATATATGCTCATTAAATAAATAATTTAATATAAATTAGAACAATTACAAACAATAATAAATTATAAATAAATAATATGATTAGTTAACTTAGACAACAATTTTCATTACATTAATATTGTTTGTAATACCATAAATATTTCTATAGGCATAGTAAATTAATACAAAAAATATTTATTCATTAATCTCAAAATTAAATCTTTTTATTTGAAGAAATTTGAGTATAAAATTGAGAGAACACAAAATATTTCATTATCTTAGATTACTAAATTATAAATAATAAGATTAAAAAATATTTATAAAATTAAAATACTGAAAGAATAAACTCATTGTATATTATAATGTAGTATTAAATATGATAAATTTTATAATAATTACTAAGAGATAATTGTAGATAGTTATTCAATCTTACTACAATTAATTTCAGAATAGAAACCCCTCAACTATTTTTAAAGTAATAAATAATACTTTTAAGAAATAGGACAAAATATATTAAAATACTAATGTTTATTATTAATTCTATTTAATAACTTTAAAATAAATGATGTAATATTTATAGATATAAATTTGTATCATTTATAGATTATTTTGTATCCACTTTATCATATAATTTTTTATATTCTTTCTCTTTAACTACATTAAATTCAGTAAAGTTTAAGAAATAATTTTAGTTAAATGATTCATTTATACTACAATAATCCTATAAAAATTAATTGTCTACTTATTGTTAATTTAATAATAAATAAATGAAAAAATAAACAAGTTACTAAATTGATGTATTCTATTTATAATAAAATTTAACTTAATATAATTAATTTTATATACTTGATAAGTGAGTCATCCCTATATATATATTACTTATATAATTGAGAGATCAATTTAAATGTAGATGAATTAATGTGATTAAATAAGGATATAATTTTCTAATTTTGTTTACATATTTATAATTTTTATTAAAAATATTAATAAAAATGACTTAATCTTCTTTAAGATAAAAATATTAAACATTGCCAACATAATAAACTTCTTTAGAAGAATATTCAAAATCATCTAGTAAGGATTCAGATATTTTTCTAAAATAATTAACAATGCCTTTAAGAATAAAACTAAACCCCTACAAACCAATAGCTAAAAATTTATTTTCTAAATCCCTATATAAATAACACTATACAGATTACAAAAGCGAAAGAGTTTAACCTATAATATAAGACTAAAATATGTACATTTTAAATACTTTGGAATTAGATGCTGAAAGTGTATACAAAAGATCGTATAGATCAAGAACATTTGATGAAAAAACAGAACCTATAAAACCTTTTAATGTAAATATTACAAACACTTTACCTATGAGAGGAGCAAAAAGTGTTTATTAATGCAATTTTACCAAAAAATAAGTTTCAGGATAACCTAATAAAATTATTTAACCTCAATGTAAAAGGATGGTTTACAGTGTTTGGGATAAATGTATGAAATCTTAATATTAATACCATCACACAGGTGAGAAAGGGGAATTAACAATGAAGATTACTCCGAAATAGAATTAGCTTTTCATAATGAACTACCAAAAAGCTCCTGAATCGCAATATAGATATGATTATAGAATGAGAAATATAGGTAATTCAGTTTAAATGAATTGAAATAAATTTTGATTATATGATTTTTGTAATTTTGATGATGTGATAGAGTAATAATGGAATAGTTGGTTATCAGATTATGATATAAACTTAATAGAATTATGATCACATAGTTGTTTTCTCCCATTTCTCAAAATCTTTGAATCTTACGGTAAAATCAGTATTGTTTCTTTTGGCTTATGAGAAACTCTAATAAGATTATTATAAAATTAATAATACAGTAATAAAAGATTTGGCATCTTCACCAGCATTCTCAAAAAGTTAGCAAAAATCTTCAAATTCTAATTGAGTGAGTTAGAAATCCCCTAGAAAAGATTCTAAATCAATTTTCAATTCAAATTCCTTTTAGATGATATCTATTATTGTTTATTTTTATACATAACCTGATCTATCAGGTTATCCTCCTAAAGCAACAAATGCATCAACTAAAAATAATTGAAATAAAAAAATACTATATTCTTAAGTAATTGTTTCTTCATCTTCTAATTGTTATTAATAATTCTTCAATTTACAATAAAGATCACATATTTATTTAAGTTCAAGTACTTTACCATCATAAGTTTTTATTTCCTCTTTAAATTTGGCAATCATTTTTTCATTATTCAACAACTTCAAATCTACATTATCAAATTAAAATCAATAACCTCTCATAATATCATCAACTTCATTTTTGCTAACATAACCAGTTCCTTTAGGATCATATCGTTTAGCTTAAGTCATCAATTCTGTGATTTCGATTTAATTGAGGTTGAAGGCACTTTTTATTTATTAGATAATATCAGCTTCAAGTAACAGAGTTTTTCTTTTCATAAAATTATTTTTTATATTATTAAAAATTAGATATAATAGATAAATAAAATATGTTTTATGGATTTACATATGATTTTCAAAGTTTGAAGTTTCATTTTTATATAAATTATTATAGATAATATTGAAGTATGTTTACTAATATAATTATAATTAAATAATCTAGAATTAGATTAAACAATATATTATTATTAACAAAATAATATACTCAAGATTATTTATATTGATAATCATAAGTTTCTTCAAAATTCTTTTTAAACATTGCTTATATATGTTCCACAAATAATTCAAAAGTAGCAAATTTATCTGGTTTAATTATTTCATCTACCTTTATTGACAACTAAGTTGGTCTATATTTATGAATACAATATATAAAATACCCTAAACTTGCATGAAACTTTCTCTCATTAAATGCTTTCTCAATACCCAAAACAATAATTATTTAAGTATCTATTTTACGATCATAAGCATATTATAGCATTCCAGTTTTCATCTTTCCTACTTTATCACTCTCATGCATTCTATGACCTTCTGGATAGACTAATAAATTTGGCCTTGAAGCTTTATCAAATTTGTTATCAATCCATTTAAAGAAGCTTTTTAATAATATTATATATATATTACTTATTTAGATCATTACCTCCTCTTCTAAAAAACCAAACTGATTAAGTAAACAATTATTGAAAGATAGCCAACATTGGAAATGCTATTGCTACCATCCATCTTGCTAAGAAGTTTGCACTATATTAAGAAACCACGTCATGAATAAAGAAATCTCCTTGTGTTCTATGATTGAATAGTAGTATTGTCTTCATTCAATAATAAAAAGATTACTCTCTTATTTGTTTACACTTGTTTAGAGTTTGGTAAATATCTGAATTACAATCTTAATGTTTTGACAGCTAATCGAGACCAAAACTCTTGTGCTCTTTTAGGTTAGAGTGTCAAAAATGAATAGATAGGGCCAACAACAGATAATATGAAGAAGATGTAAATCACAATCCCAAAAAATTTAATCATTATTTCATTTTAAAACCATATAATTATTGATTTATGTTTGCTAATTAATAATCTAGAATTCCTTTTTAACAATTAAAACAATATTGTTCTAATATTGACCAAATTTCCCGAGGAAATACATTACGATATGAATTTCCCGTTTCTTACGGTCATAGATCAATGAATATTTTGGATGATCTATAATAATAATCAATCTTATTATAACCCTTCTAAAATATTCGAATACTCATTATTTTTATTTTCAAATAATGCTAGAACCTTCTAAAGAATTTTAAGAAAAGGCAAAAGGAAGATAAAAATTTTAACATTAAGGAAGAACAATTTATGAATGGGATTAAACATTAGATGATATTAATATATACATAGAACCGCCTAAGGCAGTTTTAAAAAAATATGAAGATTAAGTGAGATAACAATTAAAACCAGGAGAGCAAATGCCAAAATTAGATATCTAAATTAAGGCTGATCATTTAAAGATTGGAATTAAGGGCAATCCTCCATTTATTGATGAACCTTTAGTTAAATAATGTGATTCTAGTGAATCATATTGGTTAGTGGAGGATGAAGAACTTCATATAATATTGCAAAAGGCATATAAAGGAGAATTATGGCCAAGTGTATTTATTGGACATGGGAAAGTGGATCCATTGACAGAATAGGAATTATAAAAAAAGATGCTTTTAGAAAGATTTTAAGAAGAACATCCAGGATTTGATTTTTCAGGAGCTTAAGTTAATGGAATGGTACCAAATGCAAGAACGTTTATGGGAGGGATAAAACATAATTGAATTAAAATTTATTATGAATATATTATAAGAGTATCAATTGCAAGAGTGTTTGGGAAATGGATCTTATGGGATAGTACATAGTGGTGTGAATGTAGAGAGTGGGAAACGAGTGGCTATAAAGATGTTGAGAGAGACCTTTGAATCTATGGAAGAGTGTTTAAAATTGAGAGAAGTTAAGGCATTGATGAAATTGAAGGAGCATCCAAACATCATAAAATTGCTCGACAGTATGCATAAGTGCATGTGTTAGTGCGATACGAGAATAAGCGCCTGTACTTGATCTATGAATATGTGGAGAACAATGTGTACTAGCTATATACATAGGATAAATTGGATGAAGAAAGGATAAAAAATATTATATTGTAATGTGCAAATGCTTTACTTCATATTCATCATTTAGGATACTTTCATAGGTATAATGGATTATAGTATAAATAAGGGATATAAAGCCAGAAAACATATTGATTTAGAATGAATGTGTGAAATTGATAGACTTTGGCCTTTCTAGAGAAGTAAAACCACCATTTACAGATTATGTATCAACTCGTTGGTACAGAGTAATGAATAAAAAAGATTATAAGGCTCCTGAAATTCTGTTGCATTAAACAAGTTATGATTCTTAGATTGACATCTTTGCTTTGGGATGTGTGACATGTGAATTATTTTTGGGGAGACCTTTATTTGTTGGTGCATCTGAATTAGAATAATTTGATAGAATGTTATAAATATTGGGGTATATATTGATAAGTCAAAAACTTTTAGAACTTTCAATAATTAAGATTGGAGTGAAGGTGTCAAATTGGTAAATCAATTGGGATTGAAATTGACACATTATCCATAAAAGTTGTTACATGTTATTAAAGCATCTCCAATGGCTTTAGATTTGATATAAGGAATGCTGAAATGGAATCCAAAGTAACGATTTACAGCTAAACAAATAACTGAACATTTACTATTTAAATAGTAATAGACAACACCAGAATTTGCACCAAGAAAACTATAGGACATTGGTTAATAACAACAGGAATTGAAGAAGTTTACAAATTAAAAACAATAATACTAATCGAAGAAGTGATTTTATATTATTTTGATTAATGAGATAAGTGTTTGGTACATCAAGATTTCAGAACCAATAATTCAATCCATCATAAAGTGGAGCCAAATTAGATTCCAACATGAAATTGCATTCTAATTACAAGAATGTTGAATAATATACATTAACAAAGATTAATGAAGAAAGACCATAAACACATTAAACTTTTGGTCATCGTTATTAATAATAAGATTTTGAATTCTTAAACTTGTATGAATCTACAAAACAACTTGTATCAATTTAAATACAATATTGTGAACCTCATGAATTGGCGGCTGATTTGATTTTAAGATATAATTTAGTTGAAGATTCCACTTTAATAGAGGAATAAAAAATTGAAGAATCAAAAGTTGTACAATTCAATAATTTATGCTAAATTCCTAGTGTAATGAAGATGGAATTTGACTAATGATAAATCATAATATATATATATATTTCATAAATTTGCTGCAATACTTAGTTTATTACATGTATCTTCCAATAAACTTAATAAATGTTCTTCAGATTATTCTCTTGTTCTCTTCTCTTAATCTAATTCAACTTTCACTCTATTAACAATATCTTTTAACATTTCAAATATTGATTATTCACTTTCATCTCTATTTCTTTTCTCTACATTAATCAAATTACTTAACTTAACCAATTCATCTGTAATTGATTTCATTACCTATTAAATAATAATTATAATAATTTACATTTTAATCTGCTTCATCTCTTTCATTAGCTTCTTCTCTAATTGCCTCTTAAATCTTAGGCAAATCATTTTATAGACCTTAATGAATACCCTCAATGGCATCTACTCTTTAGGCTGTCTCCTTTTATACTTCAGTTCTTAAAAGTGCTGTTTTATCTTCTGTCAATCTAAGAACTTTAGCTTCACCTTCCTTCTTTGTTTATTATTCATTCTCAATGGCATTCTCAAATTTCTTTGTTAATGCTTGGACTTCTCTATTCTTGACTTCATTAGCTTATTCTTTTGCCAATCTATCATCTTCAACTTACTTTTATAATTTGCCTAACTGTTAACGAACATTTAAAATAATGTAAATACTTAATCTCTTAATCCATTTAGTTTTGTAAAGATTTACTCTTAAAACTCATTGAATGCATCTTCTGCTTATTGAATTCGTTATTCAGCCTATTCTAATTTTTAGAATCTCTCATTCTCCACTCCAATTTAGATAGTTGATAATTTCTCAGAAATCTTTTATATTCTTCCTGTACTTGGAGATGGTTATACATCTAAAACCCTATAATACTAACAATATTACATGCAGATTATTTTACTCTTGACATCAGATATATATATTTTAATTATTAATTTTATTTGTCATAATTAAGTATATAAAATTATGTCAAAATAATTCAGAAGACTAGATAGTGATAGTGATCTTGAAGAACCAGAATCATTAGTCTACAAATAAAGTAATACCTATATTAAACCATTTAGTGAAATAAATGTAAAGAATGTAAGGTATTTCTTAAATGATCACTGAGATCATATAAGAAGAAGAGCTTTCTGAAGTTGAAGATAAACACAAATATATGAAAAATTTAGTTGGACGTAAACTAAGTTAATTAGACAGTCCAACTGAATCTGTAAAATCTGCACAATCTTCTAAACCATTCTAAAGTCCGAAAAAAGCTCTTAAACGAGATACTATATTTTTTGAATAATCTGACTTTGACATACTAAGCATTAGAGAATATGATTATATAGAGGTATCATTCTCTAATTAAAAGTAGATTAAAAAATGTGAAAAATGTGCTATTCATGAACAAAGTGAAATTGAAGGAAGAGCATCTGCTAAGAAGATTGTTTCTTTACTTAAAAAACGATAAGATTATAATCCTGATCTCTAAAGTGATTGGAATGGATTAGAAGAAGTTACAACTTATTCAGCTGATAATCAAGAACCTATTGTTGATTATAGATGTCATATTGAACCACTACCTAAAATGGAAAAAGTAGAAATTCATGTTTCTGATGGAGTTTATGCAGTATAATAAGATGGATATTGGCTTACTAAAATGCATTCAATTAAAGAATTTATTAAAGATCTTCTTACATTTGTTGAAATAGCTAATGATAAGATGATTTC